TCCATTTTATCAAGCGTTTAATCCTATGTTAAATTATAGAAATCTGCCGGGATCATAATAAATTTCCGCACAGAGCAGGATTCCGTTCTGTGAGAATCTTAATGACTGTTTAATCATTTTTCTGTCATGTTTTATTTGAATATCTTTACCTACCCATACTTTTATTTTCAAAAGCAAAATAATTAAAATTCATTTCAATCGATATTCGATATTAATAGTTTATATAATTTGAAGAAATTAATCTCCTTCTAATTATGAAATTTAAAATAATATAACTTGTAATTAAAACAGTTTAACATAAATAAATCTTAAAAATCAATATACTAAAAATAGTAAAAAATAATAAAAATCGGAAAGCAGAAAGCCACTCTGCTGTATACAACAGTAGGTAGGAATTGAGTGTACATAATAATTAAAAAAAAATCACTATAATTTGAATACAATGATAGATTACTAGATGTGAAAAATTGAGCTAAGATGATCTGTCTGCCTATAATATAGGCGTTAATATATTATAACGTATATATTTTGGATATTTATATTGCTAATGTAGTAATTTATTTTATATCTAATAAAATACGGTTGATTGATTTAATTTTTAATGAAAATGTTATTTATATTTAATTACATTAAAATTACATTAATTACATTAATTAATTGTTATTCACATTTGAATCATTAATGGGTGGCTCCTAACTCACACATGTCTGTAATTCAATATTATAACACATATCATATTTATAGAGCTAGTTTTTGTAGATTTTTTTAAAGATAAATAACCAAAAAAAAAAAAAAAAAATGTTATTACATCAATCAACGTACCGTGTGTTTGGTTAAATAAATATCTAAGTGTTTAAATGCATGTACATGTATTAATATGTGAATAATATATAATGAACGCGTGTATAGTATAATTCTATAGTAAAGTTGTTTGTCGTTTATACATGGTGACTTGTGTGTAGGTATATAATATTTCGGGTCCCCAAGACAACGGTGACTATACCGGAAACTGCACTGGTCCGGTCGTACCAAATAAAGTTTAAGCGGAAGCTTCCAGCCATGCCTTTCCACAGCAGGCCTTGGGATTAATAATACTGCGGTATAAAGTATATATATATATTTGCGAAAACGGTCGGTGGGGTTACCCCTCCGTTCCAGTTTACTAAAATTAGACGGACAAAGTTCTACGCCAAGGTCTCCATATAGTGTATATACATCAAAACGCTCCCGTTTGTAGATTTATGTTCGGCTCATAAAACTTTCCTCACCATCCCAGCTCATCGCTCCTCGTCGCTACCCCCTATTGGGTGGCAGTGTAGGACACGACAACACAAAAGACCCTTTTGCGCGATTGTAGATCATTCTCGTCAAAACTGCAGTCTTAATATATAATTTTTTTTTCGTTTACAGATGGAAGATTTTTAATAATATTAAATAATTATTGTTATAGTTAACGGCCACTGTATTGTATGTTATTATATATATGACAGGTTGGCAGGAATATGACAATCGATGGAGAAAAAATGGGGAAATTGCTTTGTTACACAGTATATTTTGAGTAAATGTCATAATTGAGCAGGAGGTATTAATGTTAAGGTATGATAATTTATAATTGTTCACTGCAATGGAAAACATATTGCGCAAGAATCGACAACATTAAGTAGAAATGTAACAAATTATAATGAGAAAATTTATTTAGTTTGGTTATTGATTGCTTTTCAGGTTATTTTGTTTGCTCCTGTAATTGTTTATTAAATAATGTTATTTTATGCATAGACATTCAACTGGATGATTGATATTATTTATTTAATTAAAATCATGGACTTAATGTACTATTACAAAAAAAAAAAAAATGATAGCAGTTGGGGTATGGAGTTAAGAAATAGAGAATACAAACAAGAAATATATTATAATATTGTAACTACGAGTACATTTATTTATTAATATAGCAATAATATAATAGAAGAGTATTAAAATATAATAATTTAACAATAACAATATAATTTATCTAGTTTTTTATTATTGAAGCCCGAAGAATTACTCATGATGATTTTAATATTAGAGAATGGAAATAACTCATTTTCAAAAACCTAAGGAGAGAGGGTATACAGAATTTATAACTTTGGGAAATTATTGTAATCAAGATGAAGATTATTAAGTTTTATCATCAGTTAGCCGTTATCAAAGCGGTTATTGTATCACAAAAACAATAATATTTTACATTTTTTAATAATTACAAAATACTTATTATTTACACATTTTGAAATTTTCAAGTGTATAAACTATTTATAAATTTAAAATAATTCTATGTATATTATGAACTTGTACTTTTTATTATAATTTTTAATAATATTATATTACATAAATTAGGTTTAAATAAATTTAGATCTGAGTTCTATAACAACGATGAACGATTGATATTGTTTGAAAAAAATTAATTTAATTTTGTTACTTATTTATTTGTATTAAAGTAGATTTTCATTAGTAGAGATAATGAAAAAGACGAACTTAACAACAGTAAAGTAATAATTGTCGAAAACTTCTCACGAAGGAACATAAAGTTAAACGTGCTGTAGGAAGAAGGAGAGGATTTTGTATGAAGAGAATTAACTAAAACGAGAATATATATTAAGGAGTTTAAACATTGGTAGTTGTTTTTTTAATCGTAGAAAGATACATTTTAATATTTAATATAATTCGATTGGAGAAAACCATTCTAAATCTATAAAAACGCATTAACTATGAAATTATTATAAGTTAAGATTTTAGTAAAATAATATATAGCGGTAAATAAATAATGCGATTAACACTAATTAATAGTGATAATTGATAACATGACAATATTTTTACAGTGGAAAAAGAGGGACTTTAAATTAGCTGGTTGTACATTATTATATTATTATATGCGTAATATTATAAGAAAATGTTATCTTAGACTGTTATCAGTTATCACCATGGCGATTCTGGTGAATATTATTATCAACATTGTTAAGATGTTAAGATAAATTAAAAATATTAGAACGAGTAGTTTTTGAATTATTAAAATAAGCATAAAGGTATTAAGGATGATTATAATATTTTATAAATTGTTTTAAAGAATTATATAATAGATGTAATATTTGTTCTAGTACTTATTGTACTCAGATAATTTTTGAATTGATGTACCATCTCACCGTATTATTATATATTAGTGTAAGAGTGTAGCATTGCAAATTAATATAATGGAACATTTAATTTCATCTGATATTATAAAACGTGCATCAATAAACAAATCAATATAATATCATATAATCATTTTAAAATTGTATGTTTTTTTTTGTCATAGATATTTTTAAAGGTAGATATTATATCATTTATACCAATGATGCGCCATGATGCATATTTATTGGAATGCAAAAATGGTCAATTATTTTCTTGCGAAAATACACGTTCAACAGCAGAGCTAAATACATTTTTAATGCAAGCTTAAATTTCTAGATCGCATACTAAAGCTGATAGGCTTAGTCATATTTTTAAGTCAGTTTTCAATTTGTATCTGTAGTGTGCAAGTTTATTGTGCATCTTTTGAATAGTACGATCATTTAATGAAAACATTAAAGTTTTTTATTGATTATATTATATATTAAAACCTTGTCCGTTACTAGAAAATGTATTATAACGTGCAAAAATATTCTTGAAACAAAATGAAAATTCGGTTTAATCTCACGATTTTGGCCATCGTCGCAGCTAACCGCTATCACTATTTCGACTCTCCCACCTTGCCTATTCATAGAAGAATTGCGTCGTGGAACTGGGCTGATAGTACACACAAGTACGACCGACGATAAACGCCACGACGACCCTTGATGACGTGCTACGATTAACTATATCCATGAAGATGATCACCAACCATTAGGAGTGTTAGTGTATCATTAGTATATTAGTATTTTAATCTAATAAAATTAAACATACATAATAGTCTCAATATTTCATTTAATGTCTCTGTTTTATTTTCATTTTTACACAACATCATTTTTGACGGACAATGATAAACTATGATTGAAGTCATCGCACTTCTCGCCAATATTAAAAAGTAGAAAATCGTTTTAACAAAATATTAAATTTTACGTATTTATGAAACGTACATCAATGAAAAAATTAACATAATATTTTATTAAAATAAAAATCGTGTGTTTTTTCGTAGATATTTTTAAAAGTAGGTATTAGACATGAGACATATCGTAAAGAGAATCCTACTAAATTTTATCGAACACAAGTTGAAGGAATGTCTAGAAAGAATGGTTCATGATTATAAAGGAGAATGATCTTATAAATTTGAGAACTAAAAATAGGCATAGTTTTCGCATATTAATTTATTCTAAATGCAAAATCAAAATCGTTTTAAGTTTACATTAATATTATACTACAAAACGATTTTTTTTTTTTTATAACCTGTTCGTTTAAAACGTTAATATGTGAGTTTTATAGTGATAATAAATTCTAAACTGAATTCTGGTTTAATTATTTGGAATTTTAAATAATGACTAATATGTTTTTAATGGTATATACGTTAAATCAATATTTTTTTAAAAAATATTTTAAATTGATACAATTATTGTTATCTCTATAGTATAGAGGTAATAGAATCTATAGTATATTATAACGATATAGCCGTCATTTTTTTTTTTTTGCAATCTATAGTTATATGCATTTTTTGTGGTCACAATATTATAATAGTATTGTAGTATTTTAAACTGACTTTGGCCAGTAGAAATTGGATAAAATGGCTACAGAAAATATAAAATAATTAGATATGTTGGTACTATAGCTAAATACTTTTGTTGTAATCGTGGTACGCCGATACGGCTATAATATAACTCATTATCGGTAGTAATTGTTGTGTTATATTTTATATCAATTGATCTAAAAAGAAGGGGGCCGCTCTCTTTACTATGTACTTATAACATATATTGAATATATTATAATGAACACATTAGCAATTATTTGAAATCAGTCTTGTTTGATCCTCAGACGGTGAATGATTTAAAAGTCGCTTATGATAAAACGTCACATATTACAAGGTGCCACATTATAACAATGAAATTGTCAATTTTATTGTTGACTTTTGTAGTTACTACATTATACGCGAGACACGTGCATCAAACATCGACCAATAATAGTTCCAGTTGCAAACACCAAATTCGGATTAATGGTACGATAAAATGCAATATTACTACATCAATCACTCCCGTCGGACGAAATTCCAAACAGTTTCCTGTGAGCACTACAACGAAGAAGTATAGAATATCAGACAGTACTGTCACCAAAACTGATAAGTTTCGCAGGAATAATACAACGCAGAAGTATACGAATTTAAACAGTACTGTCACCGAGAGAGCTGTGATCGTGGATGGCCGAATAATTACTGAATCGAGTATTATTGAGACAAGATTTATGATAACTGCTCCAATAAAGGAATGCAAAGAGGGATTAACTCGAGACATTCATGGAAAATGCGTTATTAATTTCTCGGATTAAAATGGTATTATCTACCTATATTAATTAAATACATTAACTGGAAAGAATAAGATATTTATTTACAGTATTATCGTTTAAATACATTTTTTTTTAAATAGTTTTAATTAAAAAATTATAATATTATTATGATTTACGAAAACTAAGGTATGCTTAAATGTTGTTGGTGAAATTTTTTCTAATTTACCAAATAAATAATTATAATGAAGTAAAAGTTATATAATATTCGATTTTGTTTAGAATATGATTATTAGGTATTATAGTATTCTTTGTATTGAATGAATTCTGTTTATGTATACTTATAAATGGCTAAATATAGTTTTTATTTAATTCTATTGTCATAATTTTTTTTTTTCTAGGTTGTTTAGTTTTTAATTAAAATGTATGTAATAACTAATAAGTCTATATAAAACTAGTCATTGATGAAATTCAATGTATTTAAGTACTAAAGTTTCACATTATTACACTTGTATGCAAAAAAATGCATTCAAAATATAAGATTGTCTAAATTAATTTGGTAAGTAACTTTATTTATTTATCTGTATATATTTAAATCAAAAATTCAAAAATATGAATTAATATTCTTAAATGGGTAATTGGCATATAATTATAATATAATGTATTTTAGGTAATTTTTTTATATATCTATATAATTTATTTAAAAAAAAAGGTTGTAGATTGATAAGCATTTGTAACAGTATAATATGTTTTTGTTTTTATTTATTACATGCAACATTTTAATAATAAGTAAAGAAAACATATAATTTAGTGGTTCTAGCTTTTTCAAATATGTTTATTAAGCTTTTTGGACGTATAACGTGTACTTCAACTATAAAAACATGGTAACTAACTAGGAAAATCTAAATCTTAGGAAATTAAATGAAAATAGTTTACAATAGTTACTGTAACTCAAAAGGCAAAGTGTATAAAAATCTATAAAGTATTTTGATCGTTTTATATAAACTTAAATAAATTCTTAATGTATACAGATTTAAATAATTACCTAATATTATTGTAAATTTAATGTAAATTTATTATTTTTAAAATTATAACTTTATTTAGCATCTAGTCTCATAATTAAATTGTGTAATGCTTATAATGACGAAATTCTTAATTATAAGGTAATAATAAAATAATATATTGATAATAAAAGAATTATGTGTTCTTTGGGATTTACATATACATTATCATCCCTACATAATATTAATTTTCTTAATGCCTATACAAATAAGATAGCAAAGTATAATATAATACAAAGATAATAAAGTAAAAATATCTAACTAAGTATACTTTGTGCAGTAATGGTTTTTTAACTAATTGAAAAATGTTAATATCTGACCAGTTCGTGCAAGTGTCTATCTGTTTCACGGCTGTACATGAATAAAATAAACTAGGTGTATATTAAATCGAATTTAAGTTATTTAAGCCAATTCATCGTGATTAATATATTTAAATAAACTTCATAAATTAGTATTTTAATGTATGATAAAATAATATTATCGTACAATGAATAAATTCCTCGTCAATTTCGGTTCGAAATGTAGAAACAAAGTGTTATTGATCTGAATGGACTTTATGCTATTGGCTTTAGGTAATCACGGCGAACTCGGAATGATAATGTAGACTTTGATCAGTAGACACTGATCAAAAACAATAACAAAAAAATACGTAATACTAAACAGGTAGCGTGTTAAGTTAAAAATAGTAGTAAAGATACGAATTTTATAATGATCATTAATATGAAAATACGACTGTTAATAATAAGAGTCTGAATAATAATCTTCTTTAAAAATCTCAAGATTTGAGACAAATACTTAAATTAAGAAGCTTCTGATTATCCGATTAATAGTACACAATACTAGTTAGTGAGAATTTTAATTTTTCCAACAATTTTTGTTCGATATTAGCCCTATTAAATTATTAGAAATTAGAATATTATACGTAAGTATTATAAAAATTACATCTGGAATTTAGTGGTAAAAAATAAATAAATATTATGATTGTAAAACGGACGATGAATTTATAGATTTGTGTTTCATCGATAGTTGCTCTGACTGTAATAATGATGTAAGCGAACGCAAGACATTTAACAACTTCAATTCATGAAAGCAAACTGCCAACGAACATTTTAGAGAATTCATTAAATAATCCAGAATCAAATATAAACTTCAAAATCAGTAGCAACAATACTTTGATCAGATTGCCTAGTATCTTAATTTACTTTGCATTTTTTTTTTTTTTTTTAGGCAAAGTTACACGCCATTGGTTCTGACACAAACCTTTTTCATTCTTTTGTTGAATTTATAATTCATATTTTATTAAGCATTTTTATGATTTTAGGAAATTTTTTGTGTAAATTTAAATTTAAAAATTGTATTATTATATTATATTATATGTTAATTTTATATTTATATAATATTAATTATGTATATTTAATATTTACTATCAAAATAATAAAACTCTTCTAATTTTGCATTTTCAAGACTATGAAATTCCGTGCAATGGTGTAATCACTATAATTTATAAAATCATTATAGGCTAACAGATAATAAAAATAGATGTAACATAAAGTACATTTTTAATAGTGGTGTAGCTAACCCTAGGATAACAAAGGCAGTTTTCTCAGAGTGAAACAATTTTTGGAGATTTATATTATTGTTTTAGTAACAAAGAGAATAATTTCTATTATTCTAAGGGGTGAAAAAATACTTTTCGCCTGGGTGCTTTTATATGTAGCTATGCCACTAATTTTTAAATATATAAATATTTACTTGGGTATCAAACACTTTTGTAATAATTGAATAAAAATAGACAAAATAATAAATATTGTTTAACAAAGCTTAGTCACGAATTGTATTGTCGAGTATTAATAGTGAACACGTATAAATAATCCGAAAGTAAAATGTTTGACGGTGAGTCGGTTACGTATATATGTTTTCGAACATGGCATTAATGGATATTCTACTGATAGGCTGGTTATTTTTTTTTTAATTTATAAATTCAATAGCTAAAAAAATTACTTAGTTGAAAAGAAATTAATAATAAAAAAGTAAAAACATATCTAACAACACATAGCGTTTTATTTGGATGTATTTAATAAATTATTCAAAACTTTTAGAGGATAAATGCATTTTTTAATTGGGTCATTTTTTTCAGTTTTTTTTTTTTAGGTATATAATTTGCAGTCGTAAATTTTGCTTTATACCCAAGTCAGTTGGAATAACAGTATAAAAACTAAATTGCTGCCCGGATGGATCGACTAGAGTCTCCATTAATGAATATGTCGAAGCATTTCCAGAAGATATTACTTCACATAAATGCAAGAAAAAAAGCATCTAGCTGAGAAGATTTATATATATATATATTATAATATATAAAAGGTGTTTATTTAACAGTATACTAATTTTATTGAAAAGTATTATCGTTTTTAGAGTTGTTACCTTTTAAATGAATCACTTTGTAGTATATAATAATCTATATAACTAGAAATTTATCGGATTGAGTTACATTCAAAATACTAGAATGAGCAGTTCCTGAGTTTTTAAAATATATAAAGGTATTATGGATATTATGGACCATATTTTTTCTTTATAAATCACTTTACACAATCTTAAAATATATGTCATCTTTAATATAATACTTGTTATACTTGTTAACTCAGATAGTTTTTAAATCGATTTATAGACTCACCATATTTATTGTATAACATTGCAAATTTATAAAATTAAAAATTTTTATTTCATATATTTATAAAACGTGCATCTATAAACAAGTAATTATAACATAATATTTAACACGTTTGAATTTTATAATAATTTTCTATTTACTCAATATTCATAAAATCATATAAATAAAACGAATTAAAAAAAAAAAAAAAGTTATACCTATCAATTGTTACAGATAAGATAACACATAAACATAAACTTATTATAAATGTTTAAATTATTTAATAAATAATATTATTCTAAGATCGAATTTCATTGGGTGATGGATCGACAAGTAAATATTGATTCACATCCTCTGTTTGTATTTTTAATGTATCCATTTGGAAAAATTAAATCTTTTGAATTGATTAATCTATACGGCTTGGTATCGGAAAATATATCGGTGTTCGGAGCATAATCTTTATTGAAGTTGAAAGCATAATTTATATCGTGGTTGTTAAAATCAATAATTTCCAATATCTGGTTTTCAGTTATCGTTTCAACGTTGACTATTGTTGTCGCTTGCACTATCATGTTTGTTTCCTTGAAAAGTTTGTGGACAGTGGTGTTCTTGGCTGTTTCCTAGGCAAACATGGTCGTGCTGATGTTATTGGATGTAGACGTTCTTGCAGTAGTGTTATTTGCGATGGCGTCGGTCGTGGACTTTTCTACAGTGTTAATAAGGGGTATGGGTAAGTATATATCAGATGACTGTTTCACACTAGGTTTGTCCGTCCTTGACTAATTTATTGGAAACATGATTTTGCGAGATATTCTTTGCATTCGCCGAAGAAACATTGAAAATAATAGCAATAAAAGCAAAAATCGTGAGATAAAACTGAATTTTCATCGTGTTACAAAAGTATTTATTGCGCGCGTTAGTTAATTGTCTAGAAACAGACGAGACTTAGTATTTAATATAATAAATGGAAAACTTTAATATACCCGTAAAATTATCGTAATATCAGAAAAACGCCCAATACACGCGCACACTAAAGATACAAATCGAATACTGGTTTTGAAATATTATTATTTAAATTTACCAGCTTTAGTATGCGGTATCGTGACCTAACCTTACATTAAAAAATACTTCGCCCTTCTATCATACGTTTATTAAATACGCATCATGTGTACATCAATAAAATAATATGTATTTTTAAAAATATTTACGGCAAAAAAACATACCATTTTCATTTTATTAAAATATTACGTTTATATACAAAATCAATACACAAAATGTAATGTTTTCATCGTAACGACTTGTAACGTAATAATATAAAAAATGCAGTGCGATGCTTCATTAATTCAACAATAATTATAGTATAATAAGTACTAGATTACTTGAAACAATAAAAATTATTACTATTGTACCTACCAACTATTTTCACATACGAATTGTATAGCAGGCATCCATAAAGTCAGGCTATTATACATATTTTTTTGGTTTGTCTTAACATGTAATATTTTTTATATTCAAATAGTAGGTACAAATAACTTCTTATAATTTCAATAAGATGGAAAAATTTGCCCTTTACAAGCATGAGCTTAGATGAGGGCCAAATGTTTGCTCCTCTTAATTTATACCTGCATGGTATATGTGCGTTATCAATAATTATCTTCAGTGGTAAATACATAAATTATCAAACATGAGTTACGGTTATTTTACTTAAACGCTAAAATAATAATAAAAGATATATTATGTTCTTTTGATGAAAAAAAATATGTATTGAAAATTATTTTACAATTTTTAATGTTTTCAACTAATACATAGGTACAACATTATATTATTGTACATGTACACTTATGATAGGTATTAGATTTATTATATAAGCTATATTTTTTTGCGTTTTAATGAAATATTATATTCTAGAAACGCTTTTAAATATTCGTTATTGAAGGCGTTAGTTTTTTAACTAGTAAGCCATTTGGTTTTTGTGTTTTATTTCAAATGGCTTGCGGACAAGGCAAGATTTATGGCTAAGAACTGTATACCTTAAAAATACCAAAACTGCCTTAATCAAAAAGTGTATTATTCATTTAAAATTTTAAAATAAATTTCTAAAATTATTTCCATAAAATGCCAAATATCGATAAATTCGTGATTGTTTAAAATTAATTTCTTTTTAATCATAGTATATCAGGGATGGGCAGATGGGCAACTCAAAGTTACTATAGGGCCAATTTTTAGAAATTTAAAATATAGCGGGCCAGAACATAGAAAGCAAAAAAAAAAAAAAAAGTCATTCAAAAATATATTTTGAATAGCATTTATTTTGTTTATAATGAAATAGGACATAGGTTAAAATTGTATACCTATACCTAATGCAATTTGAAAATGTAGCGCGGGCCTCCAGTTGCCCACCTCTGTAGTATATAGTTATCTTTTGATATATGTTATACTATGGAGGTTTTTTCAGTTATTGAACTATATAAACGAATTTAAGTTTAACATAGGTACCTATAACAGTGACCTACTCGGTACCTAATAAACATGTGGCTTTCATTTTGGTGAATAACCTAAAATAACTTATTATTGAATCAAATCTATATAGTTCCTATTATGTATAATATTCACATATTTTAGTTGCACTTATAATAATAATAAAAAAAAATAAAATATACATATATATTAACAGGTTAAGCGCCACGATGACCCTCAATACGACTTGTCAAAATGATTCTTATAAGATTCAGTAGGTTATTGTTAAAACAATTTTGAATATTTCAAGGAGAAGAAAGACAATATTATCAATTTTTATCACATATTAACTATTGATTATCTTTCTTACCTGAATTGAATGCATACATAAAAAATATGAAGGGTGCATAACGCGGGAAAATAGATGTTATGTAATATTATATCATTGGTTTATAATAATATAACTTTGCTTATAGTCATTGAAAATATTAATAAATTGTATAATAATTTTTAAAATATATTTTTTTTATCAAAATAATATTATATGTCTCACATTAACTATTACTGAGAATTAATAATTTTACTGTAAATTATGAAGCAGATGATTTTCTTGGAAGTTCTTTGTTAATAAATACATACAAATTATAACGTGTAGTTTTTGAGTCGTTAAAATATATTTAGTTATTAAAGATAACATTATTTCTTTATAAATTGTTTTACAGAATTATATGTTTAAAAAAAAATTTAATATTTAATCTAGTACTTATCACATCAGAACTTTTTTGACCTGTTGTATTAATTAACTGTATTTATATCTATGAGGTCCGTAGTAATCGCAAGTACAAAGTTTAAGCATCGCAGAAAACCGCTATCGCTCTTTCGACTCTCTCATTTTGCCTATTCATAGAAGAATTGCGTCGTGGAACTGGGCTGATAGTACACACAAGTACGACCGACGACAAACGCCACGACGACCCTTGGTGACGTGCTACGACTAACTAGATCAATGAAGTTGTTTATCAACCATTAGGAGTGATAGTGTATCAATAATATATTAGTGTTTTAATCTAATAAAATTAAACATACATAATAGTCTCAATATTTCATTTAATGCCTCTGTTTTATTTTCATTTTTACACAACACCATTTTTGATGGACAATGACATCGCAAAAGTCATCGCACTTCTCGCAAATATTAAAAAGTAGAAAATCGTTTTAACGAAATATTAAATTTTACATATTTATAAAACGTACATCAATGATTAATGAACAAATCAACATCATATTTTAATAAAATAAAAATCGTGTGTTTTTTTTCGTAGATATTTTTAAAAATAGCACTATCTCAATGATGTGTATATGATGCGTATTAAATTGGTTAATTAAATGATTGAATTTTTGTTTGTGGAAATAAACGTTTTTAGTGGGGCGAAGTAATTTTTGATCCAAGGTTAAAATTAGCTAACAACATACCCAAAGCTGGTAGATTTGAGTAGTCATATTTCGAACCAGTATTTGATTTGCATCTGTGGAGTGCTCGTTTATTGTGCGTCTTTTTCATAATATTAAATACTCGTATTGGCATATTGCATGTTAAAGCTTTTCATCTGTAATATTGTATATTACAGTTCCATCCGTTACTAGATAATTTACTAACGTGCGTAATAAATTCTTTTATAACATAATGAAAATTCAGTTTAATCTCACGATTTTGTCTTTTGTTACTATCGTTTTTGTCGTTTCTACAACGAACGCAAAGAATGTCTCACAAAATCTTGCCGCCAATAATCAGTCGAGGACGGACAAACCCAGTGTGAAACAGTCATCTGATATACATTTACCCGTATTCCATATTGAATTTGAAGAAAATTCCACAATCGACGACATTACGAATACCACTTTGGTTATGCCTCTATCGAGCACCACTACGGTCTCGTCTTCTGCGAATATTACTACGGAAACGTCTACGTCCAGTAACATCATTGCGTCAACGTTTGTTGAGGAAACAGTCAACAACGACACCATCTACACGACTACCGAGGGAATTGTGAAAAACATTACTACCTATACAACGTCTAGTGAGGAAACAGAGACTACAACAACCAGTGTAGAAACAGTAACTGCAGACGTGACATCCACAACTATAAAAACCACAAGACGTTGGTATTATCATGGGGGTCACCATATTATAAGACATAGAGTGACTACTAAAGCTCCTATTTGTTCAGATGGATATACTGTAAATACAAACGGAGGATGTTCACCAATATTTAAAGATTGATCTAACCTCTAATGAGCCTTAAGTTTAGAATGGGATTTATTATTATTTTATATATAGTATATTATATGTTCTATATCTTATCTATAACAAGTAATATGTACCTATATATTATTTGAAACTATAAAAAAATCAATTTAATTTGTAATCTTGATAATTTTTTTAATTGGGCGGGAAGAAGAAATAGGGATTAAATATTTCACTATCTATTTAAATGAACTGACACATATTTTTGACTCTTAATAATTTTAATGTATTGTTATTCTTAATTATTTTTGATTTAATCTTAATATGAAATAATTATTAGTATTTTGCTGTATATTTTAAAATATAGTCAATTTAAAAGATAAAAATTGAACTGTATAAAATTGTATAAAATATTAAAAATAAATAAATAGTTTCATAATTGGATCATTTTTATTCCATAAAATGCACAAAGAAAAGTCCAACCAAATATTTTCTTTGATAGGTTACATTGGGTGTAGTTTCATAAATTATTTATTTTAAGGAGAAAACCCTTCCTTTAAAAGTGGTATATGCTGTTAGCTATGAGGCATATGCTTGTAATAATTATTATAATTACTTCGCTGAGCCATAATTTAACGTTATATAATCTTAGACGATTTAATATTATTTATTTTATTTTTGGATATATTCTTTTCATAATATCTAAAATATAGAAATTTGTTTTCATATTCCTTTGAGTTAAATTATTTGAAATTTCCAATTTATATTAAAGTTATCCTAAAAGGAGATTAATAACATCTGTCAAGTATTCAAATTGTTAAAGTTTCAGTGGGAAGCTGGAGAAGACAAGTTCCTGTTGATGGGAAACCTATGAGAACAAAATCAAAGAAAGGTCTTATATTCTACTTTGGTAATTTCAAAAATAATAATAATGTAATATATAGATATAGATTAAAACGAAAAGGGGAAGCGTTTAAAATCAAAAATGTCATAATAGCTGCACAACGCTTAGTTATGTCTCCGAAAAATGCAAATGAGTTATTAAACAAATAAATTTAAAATTGTTAAGTATGAATATTAATTAAGTAATTGTACGATTTAAAATTAAAACAGATTTTATGTTTGTAGACTCTTGAATTGAAAAGATTACTCAAATGAAAATTAAAAAAAAAATATTGAATTATCTAAAAAAATTTTCTGATAATAAATTATAGGTATCACTGAATAATGTTTAAAATTGATTTTTTTTTTTTTTTTTGTATTTGTTATATAATGGTAGTTAAAATGAAATATACACTCATTTCAATAATTTAAGTTAATGATATAATATAGAAATTAGCTTATATGTAATAAAATTATCTTGTTTAATGTGCATTTAATGTAATATTTACAACTCTAGTTAATAAATATGATATACAAAATTAAAAAAGTTTTGATTGTAATAACTATATTATGATTTTTGATTTTTAAAAGGCACTTACTACTTTTTCATAAAAAATAAGAAAACTATAAAAATTAAAAAAAAGAAGGCAGGGAAGCTGGTATCACTCTGCTATACATTTGTTATCGAGTGGATCAATTAAACGAATATGTTAAATACGAATTTATTGATATAATATCATTGTACACGAAAAACGATTTTGAGTAAAGACGTTCTGTCAGGCTTTATAACTAAGTATATTTAATGATATGTTTTTTGATAAAGTTAAAAAGTAATTTATTTTATTATTATTACGTTAGGTTAAAATAAAAACATTACATTTGAAATATTTATAAAACGTGCATCACTGAAATAATAAACATAATATTATTAGAAAATATTAAATAGTATGTTTTATTTTGCTTTAGTTATTATTTCAACGATGGGTACACGATGCGTATTTATAATCGACTACGAAAACGATTAAATCTTTCTTTGTGAGAATAAAAATTTTAAGTGGGGTGAAGTAATTTTCAATACAAGGTTAAAATTAGTAGACCACATACCAAAGCTGGTATAGGTTTAAGTAGTAATATTTAAAAACCAGTATGCGATTTGCATCTATAGAGTGTACGTGTATTGGTCGTCACTTGAAGAGTATTATAATTTAACGGGCATATTAAAGTTTTCTATTTATTAATATAAAGTTTCGCTCGCTACTAGACAATTTATTATTACGTTAAAACAATTCATGATGAAAATTCGGTTTAATCTCGTGATTTCGGCCATCATCGCTATCGTTTTCGTCGTGTCTTTGGTGAACGCAAAGAATATTTTGCAGAATCCTGTTGCCGATAATCAGTCTAAGTCGAAGAAACCTAGTGTGAAACAGTCATCTGATATACATTTACCTATATCCCATATTGACGCCGTAGAAAAGTCCATGACCGATGACACTACAAATACCACTTTGGACATGCCTCCATCGAACACAACTGCGAAAACCTTTGTCAAGGAAACAGTCAACAACGACACCACCAACTCGACGTCTATCGAGGATACAACTATTTTACAAGCAACGACAATAACTAGCGTAGAAATGGTAACCGAAAACCAGACGTCCACAAATCAGACAACTGAAAGTGGACTTTTGACCACGAGGTATGTGATCAATCCTAGTGTTTTTACTGAATCCACTAAGTGTCCGAGTGGACAGACTGAAAATTCAAACGGAGGATGTTCACCAATATTTTAACAAAGTGAATCTTATTTCGAAAGAATCTTTCAAATGATCACTACATGTCAAAAAATCGATCTTGAGATTAGAATAACATTTATCATTAATTAATAAATTAAATGTAATATAATAATTTGTTTATGTTTTATGCGATATCTCGTCTGCTATAAGTAATAGGTACAATTTTTGAGACTACTGCAAAATTTGTTTCATACATTGAAATAACTTCTCAGATATTTTACACAATTTAAGGTGTGTTCTGTTTTCATATTTCATTTTAAAATGAGAATATTATTGAGAATAAATATTTTCTTTTAGTGTTGGGACATTTTTATACCATGAAATGCTCATTGTAGTATAATTTCACATTTATAAGCAAAAAATACATGAGTTATGCATAACGTTTAACCGTATTTTATTTAATATAATAAATATTATTTTTTTAATTTTAATTTACTTTTTAAGAAGATAATGAATTACATTGAAAATGTTTGAGTTGGAGTCAATGGGCTCACAGTTTGAAATAATAATTCATAAAGTATCTAATACAATTAAATAATTATGACACATTTTTTTAACATAACTAAAATACAAATAAATATAAATATCTACATATTTTTTTCTATATTTATCTATGATGTAATATTATAATCAAAATTATGTGATTAAATAATAAAATAAAAAAAATTTATTACTAAAAATAATAATCTAATAATTAACGTGACAAGTTATTAAATAATCCTATAACGTGTGTATTTTTTTTTTGTACTAGCTAAAGTGTTATTATATTAAAAATTTCAAAAGAGTTGCTATGTTTAAATTCTTATGGTAAATACTATATATTTTTGAACTGTTATATTATTACGTAGTTCGTGTTAAATTTGTGTGAGTGGCTTGTACTTATTAAATTTTATCAATATTGATTAATAGATAACTAAAACGTCGTTTATTTAAGTAACTCGTGTAATCACGGCATATACAAAGCAGGTTTAGACGATTTTACAAATGCTAAGTATTATGAGTAAATTTGAATAAAATTGTTAAAAATTTTACGTTTAAGTTTTGTACCAAATTCTAAAATTGGAGATAGAGGTTAGATGCGAATTCCAAAAAAAAATAAATATATATTATATATTTATGAAATGTATACGCATCGTAGTAAACTGCTGTACTTAAGAAGAAATCATAGAAGCGTAGTTGTAAGTATGATACCGTTAAATCGAAATAAACAGTTTTTTATTGATCTAAAAATATATTGTTTGAATGTGTACTGTGTGTAAAATATTTGTGATAACTCATAGAATTAGTATAAATAAGTCAGTCATTCCTTTATTAATATATGTGCGGGTACGAGTAATTATGAAATTTGTAATCTTACCGCTATAATATATTTTAAGTTTAAAAATTAATCAAAAGTTTTTTTAATTTTTAAAACACGAGGGAGATTTTATCTTAATTAATACATGAACAAGTAACAACAAACTGTTACAACTGCAGTCTGTAATGAGTCGAATAATTATAGGACATTTGAAATAGGTAAGTTTAACGGTATCAACAAGTAGAAAATAATAATTTAAGTCATACCTCGAATAATAATAGGTATATAATTAATTGAAATAGGTAGATACTATTATTATTAGCAGTAGAGACGATCTATCAGTCTACGTTAATAAGTATGGTTAATGATATGTTTTTTAATATAGAAATTAAATTTATTTTTAATATTACATTAGGTTAAAATAAAAATCTAATGTTCAATAAATTAACAAAACGTTCATTAGTGAACAAATCAACGTAATATTCAAATAAAATGAAAATTGTATGTTTTTTTTGCCGTAGATATTCTTAAAGGTATTAATTGTTTCATTGATGTGTACATGATGCGTATTTAATGGGCTCTTAAAACAGTTAGATCTCTATTTTGTGGAAATACACGTTTAGTAGTGGGACAAGGTAATTTTTAACGCAAGGTTAAAATAAGCTGACTGGATATCAAAGCAGATAGGTTTCACTAGTCATATGTCGAAGCCAGTATTCGATTTACATCTGTAGAGTGCGCGTTTATTGGACGTCTTTCTTAATAACGATAATTTTACGGTATATTAAAGTTCCATCTGTTACTAGATAATTTACTATCGCGCGTAATAAATACTCTTGTAACACGATGAAAATTCAGTATAATCCTACGATTTTGGCTTGCGTCACTATCGTTTTCGTCGTTTCTACAGCGATCGCAAAGAATGTCTTGCAAAATCCTGTTACCAACAATCAGTTGAAGACGGAAAAATTCAGCGTGAAACAGTCATCTAATATACATTTACCCATATTCCATATCGACGCGGTAGTGAAGCCCTTGACTGATGCCACCACGAACACCACTATGGTCTCGTCTTCTGCGAACATTACTACGAAAAAGTCTACGTTTAATGGCACCACCTACACGACGTCTATCGAGGAAACAACTATAGCACAGACAACCGAAATAACTAGTGTGGAAACAGTAACCGAATACCAGACATCAACAAATCAGACAACCGAAAGTGAATTTTTGATCACAAGAAATATAATAATTGCAAAACTTTTTACTAAGTGTCCCAGTGGACAAACTGAAAATTCAAATGGAGGATGTTCACCAGCATTTTAACAAAGTAAATCTATCGTTGAATTAGTTTTTCAAATGAGTTTAACATGTCAAATAATCATTCCCGAGATTAGAATAATCTGTATTATAAAGTATTTAATAAATTTAATTAAATATAATATGTTTACAGTATATATTATTTTGCCCACTACAAGTTATAGGAATATATATATTTTTTGAATCACTGCAAAATTTGTTTCTTTGGTATGATTTTATGAGTATTGAGTGAGTTAGAAAGATATTATAAAATTGAGCGATGTTTTAAATATATTTAAAACTGATTGGGTAAATTTAATGTATAAAAATATAATAATTTGCTTATACATATTTATTTATTATCTCGTATTCTACTTACAACTTTTATCACGTATTGATAATAATTGATTTTTACCTAGTTTATTCAGTTAATACCTATTATTCGTCAAATATATTGGAATCAAAATAATCTTTGTTCCACAGGTACAGTCTGTTGTTTTAGATAAATATAATGAAAGCCATATTCATATTTGATATTAAAAAGTTTTAAATAATATTTTTTGAATATATTTGAGAAGATATAGATGTAAACATTACTTTATCACACCTCACTATCAATTTACAAAAGCAGTCAAATTTTTATTAACTTTAATACTTTAAATGTACTAAGTATTATATATTTTTTTAAATTTGTTCTAAATACAATAATTGCAAGTATTTGTTTGTATGTTTTTAAATATAGTATTTCGAATAAAAGGTGAATTGAATATTATATAAATTATTAAAAATAAATATATTTTTTAGTATTGGGAAATTTTTAAACCACTAATTATGCTCATTGTTATATATTTCTACATTTATAAGCAAATATATGTGTTATTTGTGATGTTTAAGGATATTTTATTTTAAATAATGAATATTATATTTTTTAATTTTTATTTATTGGACCGACATATACAAGTATATCGTTTATGTTAAATTGTTTTGTGTGGTTTGTACTAATTAGTTTTAGTGGATATTAAATAACTATATTACGTCATTTTATTCAGATAATTCATGTGTAATCACGAAATTTATTAAAAAGAATTTTTGAAAGTTCTATAAATGTATATTAATATAAAATGTACATAATATTATATGCATAATAACAAACAACTACACTTAAGGGAACAATCACTTAAAAATAGTCGTAAGTAAGAAATCGTGTGATCGAAATAAATAGTTTGTTATAAACCCAAAAATATATTGTATGATTAAATTGTGGATCGTGTATAAAATAGTTGTAGTTTGAAATGCATTAGCATAAATAGGTATCTACACCTATTTTAACAGTCTATGTGCAAGTATATGAAATTCCCCTTATATTTAAAATTACGAATTGTATGAAACTCGTGAGATAAAATGTTTTTGTCTATTTTATATCTTAACCAGAAAACAAAAAACAATGCCAGTACAACTTATCACAGGCTGCCCATTATAAAGAAAAATTCAGTTACGTCCGTTGAAAGTCCCTACTTGAACACGAGTAATCAGATAGGTGGAGTGAAAAAGTTATTCAATTTGTGAACTTTCTACCACATACTTTATTTTTAGAAATTAATTAAAGGTTTCTTGTAATTTTTAAATTACGAAGGAGATTTAATCTAAACCTATATACGAACAAGTAACAGCAAACTGTTACAACTGTAATGTATACTAGCTGGATCATGTTATTAAAAAATATTTGACAAGTTGAAATGAAATATTACGCAGTGAAGTAGGTGGGTTTAACGGTACTGACATGTAAAAAATATTGATATAAGTCCTAGGTGTATTAATCATAGGTAAGTATACATTATATTGCAATAGATACTATTATTATTGTTATTTTTTATTTATTTTATAATCGCAGAAATAATCGAAACCAGTTTCGTAAATATGTAATATGTATATTTATATTGATAATTCTTAGGTTTAGAATCTAATAATATTTTTAATAATAAAATATTTAAATGCAATTGTTATAACTATATTATCCAATTTACTTATTATACTTTTCTGTATAGTTTATAAATATTCTTTTATGAATAAAAAAATAAAATACAATTGTTATTGTTTTATAGAAATGGTTATTACTTGAAATATATTTTGTTTTAATGCTTCTAGCACCTAATTAATATAGAAAATGTATAGTATCATTACTATTTAATTACCTTCTAATTCTGTTATTTGATCGCTAAAATTGCAAATGGGTTTTAATGAAGTTTTAAACATCATGATATGGTATAAACATTATATTATAACCTTATATTGTGATATAAAATTTAAAATTTATAGATATCTTACCAAATATTTAATTTATTTGTTGTTTTTGAGAAAATCAAAAATGTATGTTTCGTCAAAAGAAAAATAGTGCGAGTCAGCGTTTTCAATTAATTAAAGTGTCAAAAATGAGTTATTTAACAATAAAAAAAAAAAAGTATTTTGTTAACATCAGCTGGTTTTTAATTGTTATATCACTTTATTAGAAAGGTGGT